AATTTAATATTTGTGACATTTTATTCCTATGATAGCTATGCATAGTATGCATCTTAGGTGAGAGTTCAACAGAAGAATTCAGTTGCCACTACAGCCATTAAGGTTACTCTTCTATATCTGATCATTATTATGTTTTCTGCAGAATTCAGTGGACAATTAGGAGGCTTTTTTTTTTTTTGGTCGGGAAAAGAGTATGGGACAGAGTAGATGGTCTTATTACCTGTATCTAAATTTCATGTAAGTGTATCAGAGTATCGCTATTTCTACATTAAGTTAATGAAAATTGCAAGTATAGGTAAGCAGGTGTGCACCATCTTCACACTCTAAGGTAAATTCAGAACAAAGATTTCTGGAAAAGGTGGAAATAATTCTTAATCAAGACCTTGCTGTTAACAACCTAGGTCTGCAAAAAGGTTTTCCATTTTAAACTGCATTTAATCGTCTACAGTGAGAGTAGAAGACTTGATTTATCCAGAAGCCTCACTCACCTCGGTGAAGTTTCCTCCACTTGGTAAACAACAGGTAGAGAACTGTTACTGTTCTCCTAAAGAAAGTAATGTACCTAAGTAACAGTATATAGACTGCTATAATGAACAGTGTAAAATGTCTATATATTGAGAGAAAGAACAAGAACCGTTTGGTTTAAAAGATGTTCAAAAATTTTTCTTTGGCTCTAGTCCGAAGTCAACTGGGCTGGTGACTTTGTGCAGAATAAAGAAAGAGCAGAAACCTCTGTGTAAGATATAAAATGCTAATTTAGTCTGTGGTCCTTTTCATCTAAGGAAACTACTTTTGTTATGCATATTCCAATAGGCTTTAAGTACAAATTAGTGTATTTTTTGCCTCATATCCCACAAATTAATATATGAATTTCACTCATTAATTACCAACATACTAGGTAATGCAGAGTAAAGGCACATTTTGCACTTCAACTAGCAGAAAACCATTTTAAACTACACGTCACTGCCTATAGTGGCATTTGTAAGTCTACAGTGCACACCAGTGGAATATAGCTGTACATGCACTTTTTAACTGTTTTCATAGAATGTAAAATTGCTTAGTAAATATTCCATCTTATTTAACTTTTAAACCACCAGAAAAGCATTTCCTTCAGAAATGATAAAGACAAATACAAAATTCTGAGGAAGACTTGCAAAGAGTGTAAACAAGAATGTTTTACTGTGTGTGTTATAAGACTAAATGAGCATTCTAAACCCCAAAACTTTAACAGTCTTTTTAACTGTAATTCTATTTACAAATATCAAGACAACACAAGGATTTGCTCTGTTTTACAAAAAGTCCAAAGACCTGACCAATTAAACTCAAATACATTCTTCATGTCTTTCAGACTGAATAGGTAGTTAACCTGTAAACTCAGCCGTATTTGACAAAACTGGATAGCCCATTTTTGACATCATTCAACTAGCAATGTCACTGATGTCAAAGTTTTTGTGTTCTTCAGAGAATTTAAAGATCCTTAGCTTTTCCTACAAAGATTACTTTTAAAACAAATATATGTAATGTTAACACCCTTTATGTATTCAATGTTTTTACACTTGATCTTTGCCCTTCTGTGGATTCTTGCACCAAAAAAAAAAACCAATAATGCAAGTATTATATTATACTGAGAAATTGTTTCCCCCTTTTTAAGAATAACAGTGTTTTACAGTTGTTAATTGGTTACTTGTAGTATACATGAAGCGCAAGGCATAGGAAATATTTAGTATCCTGCTGAAAGCTGAAAGCTTTTCTAGAAGTAGAACTGAAGCTTATTAACTAGGTAGTATATACAAAAAGGTTTTGACAGCTAAAAAATGCAGACACATAAATCTTAAACTAAGATGTGATTTTAAGGACTGAATGTTTTGTAACAAGCTCATAAATAGGTCTTTTCAAAAGCCTCAAATGTATCTAACGATTTCTGATACAGATAGCATTGTTAGGCCACAAATTCACAATAATCTGTAAAATAGGCTCCAGATAATACAACACTTTTTTCCTGCAATAAACACAAAGTATAAAGAAGGGACGCTCCACTTCCATTCCTCCTTTCGCCCTGGAAAAATAGTTGGTGGACACGAAGTCTTAATCCACTAGCTTTCTAAAGAAAGCCAAGCCACAATTTTTTAGTCAGCCAAGTAAAATTTAAGCCCTAATCTGCATTGAAGAGGTAATCTTTATGAAGAATAACCAAATGGGACTTGATTTGAAACTCATAAGGAAAGAACACTTGAAATTAAGGAAAAGCCAGAGAAAACTAAATGAATGAGGACTTCTGAGTGTCCTTAGAGAAACACACAAAACTGTGTGCAGTAAAGAGATTGCTTTCAAGTAAAGAAATAGAGCCTATCAAATATCGATCTAGATTTGAATAATAAACTTCTTAGTGTCAGTCTTAATTTCTTATTTTACTATTTAGGAGGAGAGCATAATTTTTTGTAACAGAAAAAGAAATCATTGATTTCAATGCTAAATGCAACTTCCTGTTGTATCTCATGGTCTAATTTATGACCCCAAATAGGAAAATTCAGTGTTAGTGTCACACAAAGCTACATATAAAACTTGTAGTTACTACAAACACAAATCACCACTCCAGTAATTTTTAACTCAACATATTGAAAGCTTATTTACAATTTCCAAATTAATGCAGAACGCATCATTTTTTGAAGATATGATTATCAAGATGACTAAAGCTTTCCACATTCAGTTTATTCCAAGGTGAATGAATATTCATCTCTTAATAGAAATTAACTGAGAGTGTTACTACTCAAATATTGGCAGATGTGAAGCTTCTAGCATTACATAAAGTATTTCCAACTTCCAAAAGGCTAGAAGAGCTAAACATTCTTTAAAATGGTTTAAATTGCAGTGGCACTGTCGCTTGCAAACCAAAAATTTTTTTCCACGTTCCCAGTGGGACTGTTAAGTGATCTGTCAAAGGAAATAGATTAATTTATGCATGACTGAAGCCAAAAACTCTTAGTCAAGGACATGAAAATAATCCAGAGGCAATGATTAATTTGTTATTAATCTAGAAATTCCTTTGTGATTAAATATTGCAAGTGTGTATATAGATCAGATTCAATTTTTAGCTTAGTACACGTCTGAGCTCTCCTTTATTTCATTTCAAATTTTTCCCTGTTAGAGACCTTGCATGGTGTTCTAGCTTTCAACTGTAGTACATAGAAAGTGACATTCACTCAAATCATAAACACATTAGATTTGGTTTTTTAATAAAGAAAAAATGTATACTTACACCCCCCAAAAACGTAAATAATTTCATTCACATTAGTCAGATTCATCATGACCAACATTTTCCTGTAATTTAAAAACTACATGTGCAAGTCTTATAAATCTCAGAAGACAAAGAGAATGGTCAAAATATCACCTCCTGTAAGCAATTTAAGCAATTCTGCATGTTCCCAAGAAAAAAGCAGCAAAGTAGCAGCAATATATATATATGTATACACACACACATACATAAAAACTGCAATCTATCAACCTCTAACCAATACTCAGCAAGGTTTTACTTCTTGTTTTTCTATTCCAAAAAAAAATGCTGACAGTGTCATAAGCAGTAAAGACTACTTTTCCTAAGCAAAACAATTAGCTAGATCATAGAATCATATGATGTTTTAGGCTGGAAAGGACTCTTAAAAGTCATGTAGTACAATCCCCCTGCAGTGAACAGCAACATCTTCAGCTAGAGCAGCTTGCTGAGAGCCACATCCAATCTGATCTTGAATGTTTCCACAGACGGGGCATCCACCACGTCTCTGGGAAACCTGATCCAGTGTTTCACCACCCTCATTGTAAAAAAAATTCTTCCTTACATCTAGTCTAAATCTACCCACTTTTAATTAAAACTATTATGCCCTGTCCTATCACAACAAGCCCTGCTAAAAAGTTTGCCCTCATTTTTCTTATAAGTCCCATTTAAATATTGAAAGGCTGCAGTAAGATGTTCCTGGAGACTTCTCTTCTTTAGGCTGAACAATCCCAAGACTCTCAGCTTTTCTTCACAGGAGGGGTGCTGCATCCTGCTGGTCATTTTTCTGGCCCTTCTCTGGACCTGCTGCAACAGGTCCATGTCTTTCTTGTGCTGAGGACTCCAGAGCTGTACACAGTGTCTTGATTTTCAGAGTGGTGAGACAGTAAAATCAGAAGGATTTGTGGGCAGCATACTCTTCTGAAAATTAAACTACCCAGCTGAGAGACAACTATAAGACAATATCTCTACTGTGCCAGCAGCAGCAGCACCAGCTGGTGCTGGGGACCATGCCCCAGGGTGTGATACTACAGTTGTTGATGTGTCTCATGCTGCCATCAGCAAATTTCAAGCCCCCTCCACATGCAAACTGCTGGACAAGCCACAGCTCCCCACAGACACAGCCTGGGACCTTTGTGCTGGGCCTGGTAGTTACACAGTTCTATTCCAATGCCACCTGAATGGGCACTTGGCTCTCCCTAGCCAGGAGGTTCCTCTTTTGGCCACAGCCTACATCTCGCAATGCCCCCTGCATCTCTGAGGACACTGCCCCCTCCTTGCCAGGCTGCTGCCCCCACCATGCCCACTCACTAGCCTGGGGGGAGCATGGTGACGGGATGTCCACACACACAACCTTGCCCCACACGGGCCCCTTTGGCCAAAGCAAAAGCCCAGCTGGACTCCAACCATTGCTTGCTGTACATCAGGGCAAACACTCCTCCGGACTGTCTATTCCTGTGAGGCTACGGAGCCACCCTCGTGCCACCTTCGTGGCTCCCCAGCACCAATGCCTCCATGGCAGCGCATGGTGGCTGCACTGGGGCTGGGCTTCTCCACACACACCCGCAGCAGGTCCCTCCCCGCCAGGCTACTGGGATAAATAGTTGATAAAGGGTTGATTCATCTTATTCACAAACCCTAGATATGATTTTACTTATAGTTACAACACAGGAAATCAGAAGTCTCAATTTTATTTCTCACTCCATGTGATAACGATGTACTGCTAACATACCTGTTTCAGGCTTTCCAGGTTGGTTTGCCTCAGTTCTTCATATTTCCATTTCCAAAGATATAATTCATTTTCTACCTTTTCTATTTCTTTTTCCAGAAATACATTCATTCTGAAAAAGTATTTTAAAAGTCAGTATTACACCATTTTGAAGTTGACTACAGACAAGTTACTGCAAATTTCCTTCTTGTTGCCTGAGCTATATTTTGCTGCCTTTGTAAACTGTGTGTATTTTTATTAAAAACCTATATTATCATCATATAATTATTCCAAGAGATTTACTAAAAAAAAAAGGCTAAACAAAACAGAGAAAGCCAGTAGTATAGAATTAAAACTTTAAATAATAATAATAAAAAATCTGGGATAAACCAAAGAAAATTTGGAAATGGACTTCAGTGAGTGATTCAGGCCACCAAATATATTGTGAGTTAGTGAAGATCCTCAGAGAAAAGGCACTGCATCACTTTCGGTTGGGTAGGGACAGAAGATTATTTTAAACACACGTATAAAGGGAAATATATATAGTGTGTAGACAGTACTGAAGCTAAGATGATCTACTTTAGATGTTTTAAAATTTTTAATATACATATTCCATTTGGAAAATGGATTATTTAGCTCAAAGGTACTACATCCTTATTAAGCATTTGCCTCTAGAATATTATTTGAGGATAAAATCCATTACTACATTCAGGAAAATTATTTTGGATACACAATTCACAAAGGACGCGCAATGATTCCTTGGAGAAAGGTACCATATTACTGAAATGACTAACTTTTATATTTCATTTTACCTGTCTTCCATTAAAATATTTTCAGTCATTCAGGAAATAATGAAATACAAAGCAGCAGAAGCACTACAGATGTTCTTGTCTTTGCAACCAATTAAAAACTCATTTCTGTGTTCACAGGAAATACTATTAGCCAAGTTCCAAAGACAAGAATGAACTTTGCATAATTTAATTTTATGAAATCCTTAGTAGTTTCATTTTATATTTTTGTAACGCCTATGCATAATTTTGCAACAAAATAGAATTTGGAACATAATTAAAAGAGAAAGAAAAAATTCTTAAATACAAATAAAAGCCTTCAAGTTATATTTCTAGCATTTCTTTGAAATCAAATCACAATTTAAAATTCTGGAATATCTAATTAAATCACAGAATTACGCAGAATGGGAATGGTTGATGTTGGAAGGGATCTCTGGAAGTCATCTAGTTGTTGGTTTTTTTAGAGCTCCTTTCTTTTTATATTTTGCAAAGCCTAATCTGTGGCTTAAGGGTATATTTGCCTTTCTGAAGGTAACTCTAAATAGAATGTAAGAAGCATAAAGTCCTCTGAGCGTGAAGAATCATAGGTCCTCTCAGGGTGGAGACAGATTAGTCAGGTAACTAGAGGCAGGTCCAGACTCCAGATCTGCATGAACTAACTTGACTCTGGAAAGAATATAGCCACAGTTACACATGTAAATCAGAAAACTCTGCTGAGAAGTCCTGTGCTTTATGAGTAAGATCATACTGACTGCCAAAGTAACCTTTGGCATTGGGGTTCAAGCTGTTTGTGATCCAAAGTTGCTTTAGATGCAGCACAGCTGTGTGTCCTTGGCTCAAGTTTGCTGAGAAAATTGCTCAGATGTGAGGAGGAAGCTGTGAGAAAGTACTAAAGCTAGAGCCATACAAGATAAGAAAACTAAAAATGCAAACTGGGTGGAGATTGTTGAGATAGTCATTATTAGCAGCTAAACGATCCAGCAGTAAAAGTACTGACGTGAACAAGTATAAAACCTAAAAGGAAAACCTGGGAATCTGAAGATGGAATCTCAACAAAATCAGCTGATTCTACCAAGCAGCGGAGACCAAACCTCTCTGAGCTGGCAGATTACAACCTGCCTGACAGAGACTCATAGGGTGTCTCAACAGACTGGTGACTGTGTTAATACTTTTCCTAGTAACACTATTCCAGGGTATTTATTGTGCGCATTAACAAAAAATAATTGCTTCATACTTTTAAGTTGCATATATTCTGCTTACAGAACATCTTTGCACATGGGAAATGTTGCCCATAGTGACCTAGAGAGGGAGTTGTTATACCAATGTCCGCTGTTATGTGGAAATCACTGCTCAGTGAGCATTTGCTGCCTGAAGTTGGCGCTGCCGTACGGTGTGCACAATGTAGACATACTCCAGTTCTCACCACGTACCAGTAAATTTATTACTGTATACCACAGTTAGTATATATCTAGGCATAAATGGCAAAATCTGTCTCTCTAAAGTTCAATTATAAACTAGCTAGATAGGCAGATGAACAAACAAACAAAATCTAGGAGGTACAGGCCGTGTTTACTAAAATTTTGTTCAAGAAGAGATCAAAAAATAAGAGTTGAAAAATTACCCTCTTTTTAAAAATAGAGTATTATACATGCATATATGTATACTGTGACTGCAGTTGCAAAATGAAGAACCTAGGACCCTAAATATTTCAACCAGAGGAAAATGGATATGTGAGGCATCAGTCTCTTAACTCACATACACAAATACCATGACAAGCTGAAAAATTTAGGCATTCTGCAAATTTAGCTTCCACAAGAAAACAAAATCCTTTTCAATAAAAGAGAACATACTCCTGGTCATCTGCTGCAATATGGTTCAAATAAAGAATTTTTTATGTTTTCTTCAGCTATCTAACTCATATAACACAATACAGTAAGTAATTGAAAGGATTTATTATTATTATTTTACTCAGTCTTGTACTGGCTTTTGTGAAAATCGTGAATTGTGAAAAACTGTGAAAAAATGATGGGAAAGAAATTGTTCATTGTAGCTTATCATTACAGACTGTGAACTGAAATGAATGTATTTGCAGTAAAGGGGGAATTTTCTTCCTTTTCATTTTCTAATTAAGTTGAGCTGACTTTGAAATTACAGTTACATAACGCCTGAAGTCTCCTACTATACCCATCCTACATGACATGTTGTGTGCTTTCTTGGAAAGCCTTTTTGGATTGATTCCATATTGCTCAGTACTGATCATCTACCTGAAACATCAAGGAATTCCTACCACTCACTTATCAGCATATAGTGTTCAACCAATATATGACTTCTTTTAGGCTACCAAAATGTACAGTTTTGATTTATGTGAGGTAAATTTGATATGACACAATATACCTACAATGTGTGTTATTGTCTCTCTATTATCTGCTTTTGACATAGGCCTTACTACAAGTGAAGATGTTAAGATTAACAAAATTTCGCAGCTGTGTTCATGTAATTTTAATTCAAGAACCATCAACTCTGTAGTTGGACTCTTTCGAAGTCTATTGGTAGACCATATGAAAATTCTTTGCTATACACAAAGCAAGCCAATAACAGAGCTTAATATACATTGATACTAAATTGCTAGTAATTATATTTTTTTAATTAACTGTGCCGTCTTAACAGTTCTATATGGAGTACCTCTTATTTAAATGCCAGGCAAGTCAAGGAAAACAATAAACACACTATGCTGAATTTTCTTTATAATTTATCAAACTCTTGTAAATAGCGGTTAATAAATATTAGAAATGAGAACATATGAGACATAAATGCAAATATCACCGTATCTATTTTTGAAAGTGTCTTAAAAACCTTTCTTTATAATAGACATCTCTCCAGGTAGAATATATATTGCACTTACTATCTTTCCCTCTGTAAGATTTTCTGCATCTCAGCCAAATGCAAATGTAAGACTGAAACATGTATTAAATCATTCTCTGTTGCCTTAGCTGTACTGTTCAAACTGTTTTTTGCTTCCTCCAAACAGATGCTCAGAAGTCCACTGGGAAAGGAATCAGGAGGCTTTGGAGTGGTTTTCTTGTTGTGATTGCTTTGGTCTTGCATTGCCTCTACATCCTGAGAAAACAGAAATATGACAGAGAAAAACATAAATTAAAGGAAAAGTCTAATATAATCTTTTCAGGGCCTATCCAGACTCTTCTAGACATTTAGGTTGCATAGGAGAAAAAAAGGGAATAAGGAACCTCTTATACAGTTGCACTGCACATGTATAGAATGTGCAAAAATGTCATCGAAGATGGATGACTGTCATTTTATGATGTCCCACACCTTGTGTTATGACAAGTTTCATACCCAAAATATTTCTAATGCAGTCTCCCTAAAGAAATAGATTTCAATTACCATTTGTTGTCTATAACTGCGGTGAAGACAAAATCTTAGAACTAACAAAACCAAAAATTTAATTTATGCACATATATAATATATTGAGATATTTACTTTAGGAACTCTTAAACTTCTAATGCAAACCATGTTGAAGCAGGTGATGGACTTATATAAACTTAAGATAAGGGACAAAGTTACCTGCATAACATACCAATTTTAATTCCATTCAGAAACAAAGTACTATAATATCTATTTTGAAGGTACATGTTTTTCATATAAAATATAAGCAAAAATCAGGAAAAGAATCATTAAAAATAAAATACATATTTATTAGGAATACTGAATAACTGTTATAAACAATATATTCCTTTAAAAATGTATTTAAGTTTTATGACTTCTGATAAATTGTATTTAAAGGCTAATCTCATTTTAGCAGATTACCAGCAGTCCTATTTCATACCAGTCTGCTCTTTTGAGTTTTTAAAAGAATGCCTGAAATCTAAGTCAGAAAGTACTAGAAGCTGCTGAAAAGATAAGACTGTTTTCCATTCACATATAAAGTTTCAGTTAGTGCATTATTTTACACGAAGGGGAAAGAAAAATAGTTAAAATATATTTTGTGTCATTTCCTTCCTGTGGCCCATATTTCTGAAAAAAAATATGAAAGGCATGTGTTTTTTGGCCAAATTTATTCTCAATACTAACACTATGGTGTTTTGGTGTTTGGTTTCCTTTTTTTTTTTCTTCAGAATTCGCAGGAATATAATGTAATTTATGTGTATTACAGAAAGTGAAAACTCCGAACACAGTATATTCAGGCATAAGATCCTGACAATTTCCATTGAACTGAAGTAAAAATTTCCTACCTTCACAATGACTGCTATCTATCAGCCAAATAACAGGTATAGCTTTTACATGGTGCTGTCTACGAAGACAGCATGCCAAGGCACAGAATTAAACCTGGCAAAACGTGAACAAATAGTTCCATTTTGATGAATATCACTGGTTCTTTTGTATAGAACTAGGAGCTGTATCAAACCAATCAAGCCCATACTTGATTGTTTAATTCTGCGTAACACTTTAATTGCTCTCCTTACCAAACAAAAAATCTTATGACTTTGCAGAAAAATTTACCTCACCTCTTTCCACATTTTAGGAATTGCATTGAGGGAGAACTAAATTATTTTAATTTAGAAGCAAAGAATCTACCTTGCTTTTTTTAGAGGTAAAAAAAAAAATACACAAAACATGGAGAATTAAGATAACAGAGGTAATCTGTTACCTTGAATCTTGAGAGTCAGAAAAATACTCTAAGTTATTGGATGCAGCAGTCTGCCTCTATTACTTAAACGTTTGGCCATAGTTAAAGAGTATGAATTGTTTTCCATATTTTTCTGTGATAGGAATGTTAGATGATGGGTTTGCTACTGAATGGATCAGATAGTATTTTGGTCAAACTCCTTGAAAAATTCCATTTCTAGGTACACAACCATAATCTCCAACTTCTTCATAAACAAAAAAAATTCTGCAATCTTTACCTTCTTTGTGTCTTCTGCTCCAGGAGTCTTGTTGGTTTTGCTCAGTTCGTTCACATGTTCTTGCTCCAGAAACATTAACTGATTTAAGTAGTTTTTAACATAAGATTTTTCTGAGCAACTGATTTCTGTTTTCCAAGCAGTTACATTTTCTAACTTTTCCTTCTCACTTATTAAATCTTGATTTATTTTTTTAAGCATACTCAGTTCTTTTACAACACCATCCAATTTGATTCTCAATTGTCTTGCTTCCTCTCGGGCTTTATTTCTTTCTCCTCTTACTTTGCTCCATTTCTCCCTCCAGTTAGCAGTACAATCTGACCACCAGTGCATGGTCTTTTCCATTTGGGCAGCTCTAGCTTTGACTTCTTCCAGTTCCTGAATTTTTACTGCTTCAAAAATTTCCCAATCGCTGCTGTAATTTATATGCATATATGGATACTGAGATGAATAGGGGTAGAAACTTTGTGATGGCAGATTTGAATTACACAGATGGCCACCTGGTTGGTAACCTCCAGCTAATTTATAAGGTTGTCTTGGTTGGGTCCCAAAAACCTGTGTTTCATCCATTACATTCTGAATGGAGCCTAAATTAACGTCTTGATTCATCATCTAATTTCACTCCTAAAAAAGACAAAGATGGACAATATTAGCTTACCTCAATTAAACTATATTAGTACCCTCAAAGAGTAGTTAATTTTATTGTTATAATAAAGAGATAATCTTAATAATGCTGTTGATGTTTTAAAAACGTGCTTCATCAACAAGAAATGTGTTTTATATAATACTTCTGGAGTACAGTGTAAACAGACATACCTATTACCTGAATGGGAATTCCTAGCAAAGGAAGTGTCATTAAATAATCATAGTGCTCTTAAGAATTTTTGAGTCTGGACAAACCAGGCAAGAGCTTTCTTCCTTCAAGACAAGATCAGATTGAATCAACATATATTCTAGATGTCTAGTAAGAGAAAAGTATTTTTCTAAAAATACAATCATAGATGCACTTGCCTTCTTTCCCAAATTGTGTACCTTCACACCAGGCAACAATTATAGCGTGTATACCTAAGAAACAAAAATAAACCCCAAACTTTTGAATTTTCTTTACTTCGTGAAAAAAGATAAGCATTTTTATGGGGGGTTTTATTTTGCTGTCCACGTTCCAGAAGCTTTCCAGTAAGTATATTACATTATTCCTGAAATCCTATTGCACTGTACAGCCTACCTCATGATGATATGATTCTGCTAGTATATCTTGTGGCATTACTTTTCATTATTAATTTGTTATTATTTATTAGGCCCAGAGGAAAATCAACATCTCAGAAATTTCTTTCCCATCCCAGTACTGAGAAAATGTTGATATGGACAATATGTGGAGACTAGTGACTTATACCTCCATGGTTCTATTGCTTGGTTATCTTAAAAAAAAAATCCTGTATGTATGGAACAGTAATTAGTGTTAACACCTGTATTTGAGATACAGAAGGCTGATGCAGCAAACAAAATATTGAACAGTAGATAGTCTTGACATTATGCATTTTAGACGTTTAGAAGTTTTTGAAGATTTGGGTTCCAGTTCCCCAGCTGTTGTAAACTTTTCTCTGCTTTCCAGGACATTTATTTGCCATTTGTTAGAAGTTTCTGGGCAATTGTAGTAGTCAAGTACAGTTATAAAAGAAGGAAAATGACAGTAAACGACTCCCAACTCCCTTCATTACCACTGTCTGGCACAGCACCACCAAGCCCCACACCACCACCACACAGATGTAGCACACCTACTGCCAAAGCTTGATCAAGCTTGAGTCTTTCCCTGTTGCCTGACCTATTTCCAAAAATCTCATTTGAATAAACCTTATCCAAAATACAAAGAAATTGCCTCCCATGATACTTTTATGAGGCCCAGTAGACCCCAAATAGCTAAATAGCTAAATATTAAACTCTTGCAGTAAGTGTTTACTTAATTTTTGGGTTGTTGCAATGGCTTTGTTTCCTAAAGCTTTTTAATTAAAAACAAAACAAAAACCCAGTAAACTTTAAATACATATTGCAATAGTTGGGGTTTTTTTGTTTTTTTAAACAGTACAATAACATTTTTCTTACATTTTCTGTTTCTGTCAGACTAGTAGATGTCTGCAGAGACATGGATTACTCTGTTCATAATCAGTAGGGTTTTTTAATTGATTTTGCTAGCAGCTTTGTATATTCACTGAAAGAAGGCAGAACTTAGGAAGTGTGCAGCTTACAAGTCTTAAAATTTGGAGAGATAGGAATGGAAATAATTTTCTTTGGCTGAAACTTCAAAAGACCTGAGCAGAGAACAAAATCTTCATTAATTAGAATAGCCTGTTGCTGTGATTTCATTACTTGTTTGAGGCAATCTAAACTACAAAACGCTGCCAAGAAGAGTGGACTCATTCACTGGCTATGAATTCTTGGCCCTCCTCCAGTGTCTTGGCTCTAGCGGTCTTGAGGCTGGGACAGTGCCAGTCAGATCAAATTTAAAGCTGTAATATTTGAAGTAAGCTTGTAGGGTAGCCTAGTAGGCTCCTAGCCTTCAGAGTGTTTTATGATATGCCGAACTTTGCCTGCATTTTTTATCATGGATAGATGATCTTAACTGCACCTAAATTTTTTAAAAAATCTGAATTGAAATAAATCACTCCTCCTCCAGAAAATATTAGTGCTGACTCAGTACAAGGTACTAAGCAATATTAGATATTTGTATGTCTTAACTTACCTATGTACTTTTCAGAAAATCTAATCAAACCGGCTTTTCAGAAATCCCCTCTAAGATTATAAGTGGTAGAATATCTTACCATTTCTTCTTCAAAGACACAGATCTTAACACAATCCATTTCAGTGTTTTGCTGACCCAGAACAAAAACATAAAATAACAGAAATATTTGCTGGATAAACAAAAAGATACAGTAAATGATGACAAAGATTTACTATGGATTAAAATGCACTTACAATTTATTAATGAGGTTTATATTTTTAGTCCTAGAATGAAGCAACCATAGTAGCACTTATAATCTGCAGGTAGTTCTGGTTCTACAGTATATTGATAGTGGTGCTCCTCATGAGAACTATTTTAAAACCTGTTTCTTTTTATCCATATTTAAAAGTTACTTGATCTTAAAAATATGTCATAGTTCTCTTCATATCTAAAATATTAAACAATTTAAAGATTATATAGCTCAGTATATCTCAGTATAAACAATAAAAAAGGTGAAATTAGAATTCAGACACTTCACAGAAAATGTCTTAAAAAGCTGCATTTTCAGCTTTCAGTGTGGTTAACTTTTAGGAGGGAAGGAAAAAATAACTAACTCTGTTACCTCATTCCAAGTAAGATACATTTCTTCATCTTGCTTATTACCTAAAGATGAACATCATGTAAAGACTTTCTCACAGAATAGATTCAAAGAGTGTAGCTAAGACGTATTTGTAAATCATTTATAGAGCTAAAACAATCAAATTAACTTAAAAAATAAAATAAAATTGGAAGCAACCTAGAGAATAAGATGACATTCATTATCTCTGTTTTAACAGATTTCTCAGCTTTTAGAACACAGCATAAGTACATTAACCTTCGTTCACCATTTCTTAGAGATAAGTACTTTTTTGATGTAAAGTTTTGATGTAAAACATCTAGATTAAACTTATCTCTGGTGAAGGCATTTTTAACTGGAAGATGGTCAAAGGAAATTTTTTACTATTGAATATTTCATTTTTTATCTTCATGTAAGGTCTTTAGTGAAGATGATTTTTCTCTTTAATGTAATTGCTTAATTTGAAAAGAAGAAAATTACACCAAAATGCAAAATTATAAAACCTGTAAAGCTATTCAAGATCTTGTGACTTTGTTAAATCATCCCACTAGTTTTTCTTATTAGTGCTTAAAATGTAAGTCAAATAGATAGGGACTTGTAGAACAGGTTGTGGGATAAAGTCTTAGAGGGGGGAAAAAAAAAAAAGACCAATCAAACAAACAAACAAACAAAACCCAATCAAGCAAAAGAACACACAAACAATTAAAAAAAAACCAAAAAACCCAAGGGAAAGCAGCTAGAACCGCACCACTGAGCAAATCATTGATGTATGCTTACATTTCTCCATCTCCATCCAGTAAATGAGAACAATTTACTGTTTGAAACAATTATTGAAAATCACTGCCCAAAGAATGAAGTGTTGCTGTTGCTATGTGTCTAAATGTTTGGGGTTTTTTTTCAAATACAAAGACAACAGCCTTCCATATGCACAAAAATTTAATAGCTTTCACTGTTTGCAGCCTCACTCTGTCCCCTTCGCACACAATGCAATTAAATCTTACTGAAGCACAGAGTAAAAGTGGTGAAGCCAAATTCTAAAAAACTAAAAGAACAAAAAGTAGCTAGAGCCTACGATTATCTAAAGGCTTTTCAGATCTCTACTTAAGCCACATGGGTTTTTCTCATGCAATTCATCCTAGAAGTTTTATCATTTACTAAAAATGATAGAAGTCCATAGAAATGTAATATTTCTTTGAAGTTTTTAGATTTTATTTTTTTTTAATTTGGTGAGCACGGTGCTCACTATAAATACCTTATATTTTAACATTACTTTTAACACTAGAGAGAGAACATGCATATATAGAATGTGGGAAGTATGACTCATGACTTATTCTGATTTTATTAATTTAATAATAATCTCAAGAAAAATATTAATCACACTACTATTTCTACTTTGTTGAATTTCCATTTCATTTTACAGTGAAACATCCACAGGTCTTCTGTATGCAGTCCTGGTTTAACTGAAGTAAAAGGGTGTTTTCCTATGGCATTAACGAAAGTAGTATTTTCTGCTTTGCACAATTGCTATGCTTTTGTGATCATTGTAACCCAGCACAAATCCACTGCTGCTGAAATGAAAGCCCCTCCTTTCTCACACATGCATCTACATGTTCTGGACTGTCTAGTTTTTCCTCTTAGTAACACTAGTGAAATAATCAGATTAAACAGATGACACATTCACAGCTAGACTTTTTCTCAGCTTCATCAGAACCTCCATCTATTTCACTTGTGGCTTGCATGAAACCTGCTGTTTCTGTAAAACATGATGTGAAAATATGAAGTGGAAGAAAAGTAGGACTGTCCCTTTTGGACAGCATCAGAGACTGCATTCAATTTACACATTTAATATAATTACAGAAACAATATCCAGTGAGTAACAGTCAAGAGTTTGTGAAGAAAAAAAAAGTATATAAGATCATAATGAAAACACAACTTCATTTTTGTAAGAATATTATATGAAATTGAAAGAGTTAAGTATATTTCAGTGATGACTAGAGCAGACTTGCCCTCCTATGAAGAATATGCTTGGGCAGGAATATCTTTTGTTGGCTAAAGTGAGTTTTTGCCTAAAATTTCCTTTCTTGGCAAAGAACTATGATATATTGTGCCGATCTACTACGGTAACCCTAGTTGTCAGGTTAGTGAGCCTCTAAAATCACAAGTGATGAAAGCAAATGAACTGCCACACATTGTTGTAATGGCATTTCCAAACATGTTGTTTAACTATTTTGAATAAAAATCCTAAAATATCTAGAATTAGACATTTTAATGTAATGT